GTCTGTTTAGTTGGAAGTAAAATGTTTTCCTTGGGAAAATATTTTCCGTGGAAGTAATTTTCCATGAAAATCATTTTCCTTTCATCATTTTCAGGTGTTTGGTTAGCTTATTGAAAATATTTTCTTACTTCATTTTTCTGGTGTTTGTTTAACTTTTGAAATATTTTCACTTTTATCTCTATCTTTACTTTCTACACATTATAACTACATACTTCTTCCCATGCAAAATAAGAAAATTTATCTCATTGTTTAACTTTAAAAATCTTGGAGAAATGTATATATGAATAAAAAATATCTCCTTAAACAATAAACAAATTGCTGGCCATTTAGTGTCAAATATCAATCACATGCAATGCTTATTGTGACATATATCTTGCACTCTCACTGCTGAAAGTTTTTCTAGAAAAGAATGTCTCTATTATACATAATTAATTACTAGCATAGGATGAGCAGGATGAGGTTTTTTTTTATTTTGAATATACTAGGGGGAGGGTTGGGTGGTACGGGGGAGGGAGTGTAAGGAAGAAGTCTTGGGTTCGAGTCCTCCTGTTTACACTAAAAAAAAAAAAGAACATACTACAAGATGTTTTCAGTAAGTTTGGAACATACTACAGGCGGAATGCATGCATTTCGGAAAACAACTTCAGTAAGTTTGGAAGGGAAGTTGTTTTCCATAAGATGAGTGAAAATATTTTACATAGGAAAATGTTTTCAGTAACTTTTGTGCAACCAAACACGGGAAATTAGGAAAATATTTTCCTGGAAAACATTTTCACCCGAAACAAACGGACCCTAAACTATATTCAATCGATCTGTTGTGAAAATTGAATGAAGCTCCAGTCATTGATACATGTGTGTGCATGCTTCAATTATGAAAATGAAAAATTTTTATTCTACTATATCTAACATGCTTGAATTGGAGGCTGAGAACTGGGATACTTGCAGATTTGTATCGGTTATTCTTCCCATATCACCATATTGTTTTTGCAGAGGAAACCTGTAATTTTGTGTGCGACCAAAACTTTGAATCTTAGGGTTGGTAGGTGGATATATATTGAAACATAGTCCTTGTACTTTCAGTTATTGATGTTGCTTGCCAGCCTAAATAAATTTCTTTTCAATTTAAATTATGCATTATGCATTATGGAATGGGGTAAGTTATTCCTTTACTAGATATGTTTAGAATTTGCTTTTGATGGTTTACACTGTGGATCGTTGACAGACTGTAGTTGGCCGTGTATAATGCCTTACATATTTGAGGTAAAACGTATCACTTGACATTTTACTTCTGCAAATTTAGGTTGTAATATTTAGTGCTATCAAATATTTAGGTCATCATCTGCTGTGGTTAGTTATGAAGTTGGGTTTGTGCAGATACGCATACTCGTTCTTGATTAATCTGATAAACAGAAATTTGTGACTCGTCGTGTTTTGTTTCTTATAGGAGATGATTTTCTGCTAATGACCATTTCAAAATTATTAATGCATCTTGGTTATTGGTGAATTTTTTCGTAAGGATGATAGAATAGAGTATTGGCTCTAAAAGTTTAATTGCAATTTAGTACTTGACCTTTTAGTAGGAGTTATTATGTATATAATTAAATTTGAAGGCACAAAAATAGAATCAAATAAACTTGTGAGACAAATTTAGGGTTTATTTAAATCGATCATCAACCCTATCGACTCAACTTATTCTTTACCCGATTAAGAGAGAATTAAGAGTGAAATTGCCAATAAAAATCTTGGGCACATGTTAGTATGCATAAATTATGCGTGCCTTATCATGTGGTCGCATAATATCACATTCATTACGTCCTTGATCATGAAGTTTCTTTCCCAACGAATTAGGAATATGAGAATAAATGGTCCAGCCAAACACTCTGAAATGGCCAATAAATGGTCGTTTACTACTCTAAATTTCTTCAGGGTTGTTCTAAGAACACTTCTTGTATAGCACCTACTCGACTAAGAGAGAAATTTCTAATGAATATCTTGGGTACATGTTAGCATGCATAAATTATATGTACCTTATCATGTGGATGTATAATACTCCCTCCGTCCCAATTATTTATTTATGTTTGGAGAATTCAACTTTTTAAGAATATTAGTTTAATTGTGATGTTTGTGCTTCTCTTTTTAATTTTACCCCCAAAATTTAAAATTTAAATTTGAATGGTAATATACATATGATTAGAAAGAAAAATTATATTGAAAAGAATGACTAAAAAGTATTTTGACTTTTCCAACATGACAAATATTTTAAAATATATCAAAATCGAAAGTATGACACTTTCAATGGGACGGAAGGAGTATCAAATTCATGACATCCTTGATCATGAAGTTTCTTTTTCAAAGAGTTAGGAATATGAGAATTAGTGGTCCAGCCAAATATGATGTAATTTTATAAGATTTAGGGTGGGTAAGTACGATGTATTTCAAATACTTCTCAAATTTTCTAGGATTGTTTTGTGATTTTACCATAGTTGAGAGTGAGTCTGCCACATGGCGTGATTTTGGTTCTAAGCAGTAGACTCGGGTGTCGTATTTCTTTCTGATGTAGCTGCAGCCCATGGTTTTTGAGAGTAACAGTAGAAGACTCCAAAAGTTGCTCATGTTTTTAACTCCAAAAGTTGTCGGCTTCTGAGCTACTGTGAGAATTAAATTTATTTACATTAAATTTTTATTTCTGTAAGAAAATGTCAAAAAAAAAACAGTAGAAGACTATTGTCGACTTTTGAGCTAATGTGAGGATTAGATTTATTTATGTTAAATTCTTACTCCTGTAAAAAAGTGTCAGAAAAAAAACAGTTGAAGACTAATTGATTGATTGAGCTTTGCAACTTTATATCAATTTCTCTTGAGGTTTCCTGTGGATATTGATTGATTTGATCCAACTGAATGTAGCAGTCTTCTGTAAAAATCAGAAGGCACACCTCAGCTAAGAAACCGAGAGATCCATAAAGGGTATGCAACACAAAGAAACGTTTTAAATGAAAAGTTCACGTCACAAATTCAGTTTTCTGGGCCTTCCGCATTTTGAGGCATTTGACAGTAATCCTTCGGTTGTCAAATCACTTTGACTTTAAACTAACTAGCACACACTGAATCACAGAGAACCAAGGTTGGCACAGACTTTGACACGTTATTGTGATACACATGTGTCACTGTCCATTTTGTCGTAAATTTGATAAGGTGCTTCTCAAATTCTACATAACTGCTGTTGAGAGAAAAGATCAGGCACGTAGCCATAAGAGTCATCAAAATGGAGGTGACATAATTAAGATACTGCTCTAGTAGTACCAAATACATGCACTAGATACAAATAAATGTAACGAATATCATCTCTGTCTTGTATCCTTGAATCACCAAATCCTCATCTTTAGGCGTGTCTAATATATAATTTGACCTGCAGATGGAAGCTAGCCAAAATACACGTTTAAAAAGAAGGAAACAGATAATAATGATTAAAAGAACGCAAGGAAACATGTTTAAGAAGAAAATGAACTCGGACTAGTAACTATAGCATAGCTAATAAAATATGGGATGGGTATAGATATCATACGCAGATATATTATACGATTTTTTTTTCACAAGTACAGTTAAAAGTTCAGTGTGAAAATATGTACTTCGCAAAATTATACGTATAAATCCGTATGTGAATAGTATGAACATATTTAAAAGTTGCAAAACTAAATTATGAATAAATTTACTATACTTTCAACTACATTTCTACCAATTTTAAACTTATTTTTGTCTATCAAACCCAAAGAAGCAATAATCAATAGAAATTAATTTGTACAGACAAAGAAGATTTCGTCGGGAGATATCTTATCCTTGCAGTTGTTTGGTCCCATCGTCAATTTGGAAATTTTAGTTTCTTACTTTTTTTTATGTATAAATGAATCCACATATATTTTAGTTTGTTCAAATCTTTTCTTCGGAAATTTTAATTTTTTGGTAAGTAGGCATATTTGGTCCTTAATATTTGGGGTTGAATTAAATTTGTCAGCGACACTTTGATCAAAGTATATGTACCCTAAGACATTGATTTTGATTTAATTAATCCTGAATATTTGGATCTTAACATATGTAAAGTATGTAGTTCTGGCCAAATTAGCCTCTAATATTGCATAATATATTAATAAAATTTATTAATATGGCATACAAAAAAATCATGAGATTATAAAAACTATAGAAAAAATTGTAAACAACATAAAAATATAAAACAAATTTAAAGTATTCAGTTGTAACTACAAAAAGACTAGATGACTAATCATACCAAGTAATAACAAAATAAATCACATGTTGCACATGTGCTCCATCTATTTATTTTGCATTTCTTTCATAAAATAATTTTAAAAGCAATTTAATTTTACATGTTTGTTCAAAATTTTTTGTACTATTTTTAGGGAGGAGATGATCTAGTTATGAAGCACTCATTTCACGTGTTGTAAAATTTATTGCGCTTTATTTGTAAAGTTGAAAAATATATTATTTAATGATCTACAAACATTTACACGAGAGGGCCGCATTTCGGGAAATTCATAAAAGAATTAGAGAAAGTTACAAATGATGTGGAGAGTCGTACAAATATATTATAAAAGGATTTGTTATCTTATTCATGTGGTATCTTTTTTTTTTTATGTTGACCATTAATTTTAACAGAAAAATTAATAGTGGCATTTTAACCTCAATTCTGAAAGGGTTATCTATAAGTTTATAAATCATAGGAGACGTATGTAGTAAAGTACCAAATCACAGAAGGATTAAAGTTATTTATCCTTTTTTTGTTATTGATTTTTGGTATTACTTTTATCGTCATGCATTCCTTTTTAGAAGAAGAAGAAAATATATGATGTGAGCAAAATTTTCTACTTGGCTCCTAGTGACTACTTGGGCGGTTGGAGGATCTATAAATACGTACTCTGGCTAATCATCAAAGTGGTCACAGCATACAACACTTAATTGATCATAGGCCTACCCTATTTTCCCCCAAGAATATGGCGTCGACTCAGGCTTCTTTCCACTCAAACAGCCTGCAAGAGACTGTCCGCCCGTTAGCAGCCTTTCCGGAAAACATTTGGTCTGATCGTATCGCTCCATTTACTCCCGATAAAGAGGTTATACTTACCTTCAGCTCCTATAACCTCATGTTTTTGTTCATATAATATTTATTCCTTTTATAAGTTGGAACCATATTCTTATCCGCTCCCACAAGTTCACGATCCTTTGTAATATCCGCTATCAATTCTGGCATGATTGCTATCCCTTGATTAATTCCATAGCCTCCTATCAAGAGGGGGGAAAATACAAAAAGATTAGTTACTATTTTTCGTAGAACTAGACGTTTGATTTATCATATTTGGTTTGCTGTTTCTTAGTCATACTTGGTTTGTTCTTACCCCGACTTCATATAGGATTCATCCCCTAATTTTTTTTACCCGTAACACTGTTGCATTTCCTTAGATTTCAGGGTCTGGTTTCTCCTGTTTAGTTTCTAATTGTTCCATTTCCCTGCAATATCAAAGCGATCAATTTGACAATATGACTAAAGAAATGTTTTTCTGATGCTTTCAGGAACATGAAATGTATGAAAGAGAGATTGAAATGTTGAAGGCAGAAGTGAATAGCATGCTTTTGGCAACCGGAAAGACCATGATGGAGAGATTCGACTTTATAGACAAAATAGAACGACTTGGTATCTCGCATCACTTTGATATCGAGATTGAAAACCAACTACAAGAATTCTTTAATGTGTATACCAAATTTGGGGAGTATTCAGCTTATGATTTATCTAGTGCAGCGCTTCAATTCCGACTTTTTAGGCAGCATGGTTTCAATATCTCTTGTGGTACGTGACTTTCATACTAGTTTTGCTAATTTTTTTAGTGTGGACTCACCTATTAGTAAATCTTAACAACTAATTTTTCTAACTATTATTTCCAAATAATTTCGAAACAGGCATCTTTGACCAATTCATTGATGCTGAGGGTAAGTTTAAGGAATCCTTATGCTATGACACAAGGGGTTTGTTGAGTCTATACGAAGCTAGTCATGTTAGAACACATGGAGACGAAATTTTAGAAGAAGCTCTTGCGTTCACAAGCACTCATCTGACGTCTGGAGGACCCCATCTGGATTCTACTCTTGCAAAACAAGTGAAATATGCCCTTGAGCTGCCGTTGCATAAGGGCATCCCTAGATACGAGGCTTGGCGTTACATCTCCATCTATGAGGAAGATGAATCTCACAATAAAGTATTGCTGAGGCTAGCCAAGTTGGATTACCACTTGTTGCAGATGTCATATAAAGAAGACCTTTGTGAGATAACAAGGTACACCTAGACACTTGCTCTCCAATGGGCAGATATAAGATTTGTTTATCAACACTAAACTGCAGAGATTTATAGTTTACAGTACTATGCTTACATGCAGCTTTAGGTTCACTTGAAGCTTAGTAGGATTCTATGATATCTGTAGCATTTTAAATTGCCAAAAAAAAATTTTTCTTTCATAGGCCAGGTTGCAATCATAAAAATATTATATTACTACTCCCTTTCTATGTTGAACGGAGCCTTACAAATTATTAGAATTTTAAACTAAAAGTTAGCCAATGTAACTGCCACTCGTTTGCAATTTTATCTGAAGTATTACATGAAATTCCTTCATATATGACCATGCTTCACGAATGATTGTGCAACCTTTTTTTTTTTTTTTTTTTAACAAATGGTAACAATGTATAGGTGGGGAAAGGAATTGGAGAGTGTATCGAAATTTCCATATGCAAGGAGCAGATTTGTGGAATGCTACTTCTGGGCTGTTGGAGCCTTGTATGAACCTCAGTACTCTCTTGCTCGAATGACTTTTGCAAAAGCAGGAGCCGTTATTACAATGATTGATGACATCTATGATGCTTATGGCACTCTTGATGAACTTCAAATTCTTACAGACTCTGTGGAGAGGTAGGCTTTTATGTTAGTCATCTCACACAAGTGAAGCAAGCATGCTGCCGAGAATATCATCTTCGAAAAAAACTACATATACCAGCCAAAATAATTGAGTAATGCACTAAAAAGCTGTCTTACTAAGAGCTAGTAAATAATAAAAGGGTGATTATCCAAACAATCTTCTCTAGCTTGACGTTGCTTCTTAGCAGTGAGGTGCATTGATATAGGAAATTTTGCTTTGCTTGCAGGTGGGATAGCAGTGGAATCTGGGATAGCAGTGGAGTCGATCAACTCTCGGCCTACATCAGAACTTCCTACACCACACTTCTGAAATTTAATAAGGAGCTCGGGGAAGATTTAGCTAAAAGGCAAAGAACCTATGCATTCGACAAGTATATAGACGATGTACGGTACCATGTTGCTAATTTTAAGGACTGTGTTAACATACACCTTAATTTGCCTGTTAATTTTTAAATTGTCCGGGCCGCCAATACATGGAGTACTAATCAATATTTCCCTGCGTTCATTTGCCCTCATTAGTGGAAAAATTACATGAGGACAAGCTTCACTCAGTCAAGGTGGTTCTTCACAAACAAATTGCCTTCTTTTGCTGATTACCTGAGCAATGGTGCGATCACAATCGGAGCTATTCTTGGATCATCAGCAGCTCTCTTGTACATGGATTGTGCCTTAGAGGATGTTATCAACTGGCTGTCAACTAATCCAAAACTTACTGCTGCTTACTCGACACATTTGCGATTGATGAATGATTTTGGAGGTCACAAGGTCAGAATTTGTTGTAGCAGTTAATTGGTTATCAAAATTAGATTAAGATAACTCACAGAATTTCCAAATAGGATTAAGTTATAGTCTTGTTCACGTGCCTTTTTAGTTTTGTTCAAAACTTCCAACATAATATGCACATTTTTTTTTGAGCAAAATAAATCCTTTTTTCATTGATAGATCTACCAAGAGAGCTATGCAGAAGAGGAAGCCATCCTCAATCTACATTAGACTACACTATTTCTATACACTCTACTGTCAAAATTTGAAAGAATGGTCAAAAAGAACAATAACAATCAACTTTGAACCAACTCCCAATTCTCTCTGATGCGAGCAATCTTGTTCCAAGATGTAACAGCCATCTGCATTGCATAGACCACAGTAGCCATTACACCCATAGAAAGTAGACAGTCATAGAGAAAGCCAGCCTCTTGAATTTTTAAGCAAATGATTGAGTCCTACAATTCTTACACCAACACTGCAACTCCTCATTCCAAGTCTTACGCCACCACTGCGACACCACAGAACATGCACATTGATTTGAGACTTCTACGTGCTTTGGCCAGCATGCCAGCATCATGCCATGATTAAACTTGTTTTTAGATCTTGTTCATTTTCTGTGCAAACGCTGCATAGACTATGCATGTGCATTCAATCTGGGATGCTTCTCATGAACAAAATGAAATACAATTTAGTTCACTTGGCTAGTTACTGCTTTACCAATGGTTAATACCCTTTCATACTTTATGTGAGTAATTCAGAATTAAACAAAACTTTTTCGCTACATTTTATTAGAGTTTTCATGTTTTCTGTTTGAACTCCTCGAATTTGAAGTTCGACAAAGAAAGGGGCAGTGGCACAGCGCTTGAATGCTACATGAAGGACTATAATGTATCGGAGGAAGAGGCAGCCAGGAAGTTTCGAGAGATGTGGGAGGATACTTGGAAGGTTATGAACGAGGAACGCTTGAGGCCTACTCCCATTCCAAGGGATGTTCTCAAAATGCTTCTCAACATCACAAGAGTAAGTGAAACCATTTACAAGCACGGAATAGATGGATTCACTCAGCCACATGCCATTGAAGACCATATAAGGGCAATGCTTGTGGATTTCATGTCTATTTGAGGATGGCAGTGGTGCATGTTGATGTCTTCAAGGGATTGGCCCTATGAATGCAGGCAGTATCAGTTAGTGAAGTGTGTTTTTCTATTTTGCCCACTCCTGTATTTAAGTATAACTAGTCTGGGATTACATGCATTGCACGTTCTGTATCTCCTTTTTTTTTCCCCTTTTTGAAACTTTTAATAACGTACGTGTTTGTTTTGACAAATTACTAAGTTGAATAAAAGATCATTCTGTCTTTTTATTTGTTTCTACATATATATTGATAGTATCACTAATTAACTAATCATAGTTTCAATACTGTAGTGATACAAATTTGATATTGTAAATGATTGCCTTTAAATTTATTGTCTTAGATTAGATGTTAATTGCTAGCAAAAAATAGTGAACTTTAACATATTATTGGCATCTTTAGTATCGTTGTATATTTGATTCATTCAATTGGGATGAAGAGTTTAAACTTAGAGTGAATTTATTGATTAGATTCGGTCAACCCTCGGAACTTAACAGCTCAGTTGCAATTTTCTATTCTCAACTTTAAAATTTTGCCATCCTTAATTCTACGAAATAACTTATGTACTTACAAATAACTTGTGTATTTTGCAATTATGTTTCGTGATTACAATTAGGTAAACATTCGTCATATAAGGTTAAAGATTAGCTGTTAAATTTTTTCAATAGTCAAAGTATAAAAGATTTATTATATGCTGCACAAATATTAGAAGGCATATCAAGCTTATAAAAGATTTATTATATACTTAGAAACATCTGAATAATAGAACTACCAAGCTCAAGTTCGGGAAGAGATAATATTTGGAAGAAAGTCTGGTCTCTTAAAATTCCCAACAAGACCAAGCATCTTCCATGGCGTATATGTCATAATTCCTTGCCTACGCCTGAAAACCTCCATAATAGAAGAATTTCTGCTGATTACAAATGTGCTCTTTGCAAAAATCCACGCGGAGATCTATCTCATCCTCTATTTGACTGCCCTATCTCGGTGCAAATATTGGGCTCTTACTTTTCTGGATAGGCAAATTAATGCATGTCTCCAATCTGGACCTGACATTTGGGTGACTGAAATTCTTAGATCTTTGCCATCAAAGGATAGCGAACTTTTTGGTACTCTATTATGAAATATGGAGTAACAGAAATGATGAAATGTTTAATGGTGAAGTTCGAGAACCTTTGACCATTGTAAGTTTTGCTCTCCAGCACCAGGCAGCTTTCAAAGAAGCAAACGATTGCTCTTTGTTAGCCCTTTCTCAACGTTCATCCCATCCCTGGTCAATGCCTCCTGCTCCCCACTATAAGGTCAATTTTGACACTTCCATTTCTACTATTAAGCAAGTTTTTAGTATTGGTGTGGTCATCCGTAGTTATGATGGTCAGTTTATCGTTGGCTTACTAAAAAGAAGAGCAAATCGTGTAATATATCACCAAACTATACACTTGTATGTGTTCAAGTCACTAATTTAACGTGTTAGCAAAAAATATCGCTGAACTAACAAAAATACATGTTTTGTAGCATTTCATGTAATTGAATTGTTAAGACAAATGGAATTCTTTTATCTCCACTTGTGGGCTTGCTTTTTGAGGTATATAATCGTTGGTTCACCTCTTTGGCTAACTTTTGTCTATGTAAATACTTGGATAGACCCAATCTACAACTCCACTCGTAAACCAAGTGACCCAAATTTTGCCACATCATCAATGCGAATTTAATATCTAGAAACCAAAAATATTTCCGTCTCTCTACTCACCATCCTGATCCACAACACCACTGACTGAATCAAGAAGTTCTTCTCTCAAAGCTTTTGGTATCCCTCCTGTGTCTTACATTCTTGTCTTTATAATATCAACCAATTTTGCCATGTATCAGGCTTACGTATGCAGAGCTAAGCCATTCAAAGTTGGAATTCATTCTTAAAATCATATGAGAAAGGTGACAGAAAGAAAAAAAAAAGTATAAAAAAAGAACTCGCTGCAGAGATTTTTGGGAGAAGAGAGGAAGAAAATCCATCAATCACATCTTTCATTTGATTTCTAGATCTACTTAGAAAAATTATAAGTCTTGCATTTTTGGAGGACATGAGAAACTATAAAGTAAGTGATGTGACTCTTACGATGGAGAAGAAGAGGCCAAAACAACTAGAGATGTAGGCTTTATCCCAAATAGAGAGGAAGGATGAGGAGAATCTTCTAATGGAGGGGGGGGGGGCGAGAAGTTCATGGGTTACTGGCATAGTAGGAGGTGCCGAGTGGAAGGAACGGAGTGGTGAAGATAGGTGGGAGGGAGAAGGTAAAACATAGTGTTTATAATAGTGGTGCTGATAATTGGGGCATTAAGCAGAGCAGTAGAGGTGGAGTGGAAAGCTTGTGGATCCAGCAGTTGTAGATAAATTTTAGGAGAAGAAGAGTGAATAGCCAAGAAGTTTAGCTATTGTGGCACGACCATTGTGGCTTCTTTAGATTACTCAAAGTTTTTGGACCATTTTGCCCTTCAAACCCTATGCCTACAGATCACGTGACGTCCATTCCGATTGTTTTCATGGTGAAATTACACTGAATGCTACAAAACATGCAATTAGATTAGTTCGATAACATTTTTGACTAATAAAGTAATTTAATGACCTGAACAAGTACTATTGTATAGTTTAGTGATATTTTTCGCGATTTGCTCTAAAAAGAGTGGAAGGTCTAGTCAGTGTTTGAACTTGCTGAAGTGAGGGAAGCGACTCTATTTGCAAAGATGCTGATGATTCCTATTCTCATATTGGAGGGAGATGCATCCTCAATTATATAGTTGATTAATAGCGCGGAAGAATCTTCTCAGACAGTGACTCGATAATTAAGGACATTCACGCTTCCCTGTTAGATCAAAGCATTATTGATGTAATATGAATTCCTAAAGAGACCAATAAGATTGCACATAATTTGGAACATTTTGCTAAATCATGAATAGTTTTTTTTTTGTTTTTTACGAAAAAGGAAAGAAACACCTGAATAGATATATTTATGGTGTTTAATCTTATTTCAAGCAAGTACAAATTTTGTATGGGATACTTTTTTGAATATGACACAGAAAAAATCCTTTACAGGACATGTTATAAACATTGCAAGAACTAGAGAAGAGATATTGAGTAATTTTCATAAAGTACAAGAGGGTTAATTGATATTTAACCAAAATAAACAAAATGCATTCCCATAACGCTCAGAAGGCACATTTTCAATAAGAAATAGCGGGATCAAAAAACGCATATTCAAGGCAAGAAACTTGCTGAATTCAAAAGTTTAGACGTTTCTCAATATCATTTATCAAGTGAACTACTGGTAAATATTATTACTATTTCAAATATTTGCAGCCTACATGCTATACCAAAGTATATTTTTTTAAGCTTTTTGTATCATCTACGTTATAGTAAATAATTGACGCACTAATTTGCAGGACTAGTGCATGGTGGTATTCTTTCAATCTTTGTACTAGTATTTTTGACATAACACCGGCCAATAGACTTGTGTGAATTTTCCAACGTCATAATTAGCATTGCTGACATTTAATTAGAGAAAACTAAGATTGACGGAGACTCTGATAAGTTACAGTGTGATACAGATGTCTCCCGATTCTTTTTGTCTTGATTTGTAAAGTCTGTTTCTCAAATTGAGAGAAAAGAGCAGGCGCGTACGTCGCCCATGACTATTCTATTCCGGATGCTTGTAACTATAAAGACTTTCAAAACTCGGTACTTAATGGACACTTGGATGTGAGCACCAAATAAAACTAATATATTCATCTAAATTATTTTTATGAAAATTGATTTTACATTTAAGCAATAAATCTAGAGTTAGTCTTATGTATAATAAAACTATATACACTATTACAATTGAATACGTGATACATAAGCAAAATTTAGATTTTAAATTTAAATTCAAATAAATTGTTATGTGTCCAATAATAACAATATGTATGGTGTCAAGTATAGAAAATTAATTTATAAATCTAATATAACATGTTGGCGTGAATAGGTAATTATTTAGAACTTGTTTTAAGTTATTTAATAGACTATATGATTGTGTACAGATGGTAGAAAATGAAGATTGAATAATGGGAGAAGTTTAATGACGTATAACTATGAATTGAGTGGTAGTTTCGTTAGTATGCAGTTGAAGATGGCGGCATTCAGTTTTAGAAGGAGATTTTTTTTTCTTTTTTACTAACTTTTGTTTCTGATAAGTTGGAACCACTCTAATTTAATAATTAAGGTCCAATAGAAAGTTTCAAAAGTGACAACAGTATGTTAATATCGTGGTTCTCACACCTTGTACGTTATATATATATAAACATCATAAGATATTTCATACTATCAACAGTAATGGTTGAAGATACAACCAAAAACTAACAAAGACTACACTTGGAATTCCAAAATCTATGCTAAATTCAAATAAAAATTACCTACAAATCAATGAACATATCTGCGCATATTTTCAATTGTCAAATTTACTAGTTAATTGCTTCAAGCTCCAATATCAAGTTGAGATATGATAACAAAAATTCAAGAAGTTCTAAATCTAACAAACACATCTAACAAACATTCAAAAATTCAAGAAGTTCTAAATCTAACAAACATATCTGAAAGAACTCAGATCTATCAAAGGAAAGACCAAAGAAGGACTAAAAATGTCCTATTAAAATACCCTTAAAAAGAAGAAAACTCTCACCAAAAGAGTTTAGGATAGGTGAAACTCTCACAATGTCAAAGCATAAAAAGTCATAGTAACTAACCAATTCTCTGTGGAATTAACTCTAATTATCAATGTATTTGTTTGATCCGTATACTGCAAAAAATCAAGATAATTGGACTTAATTTAATTGTTAATTGGGAATCGATAACTTGATAACTTGAAAGTCTAGACTACGTGACATGAGAATGAATTAGTGGTCAATTAAAATTTCTGGGACTGCACCATTGTGAAGAAGGAAGATGGTGCAACTTAGATCATTA